TTAATACTTTAACACTATGTTTGGTTTGAAGGAAAAAGTAGGGAAGGGAAAGGAAAGTTAGGGAAATCTTTACAAACCTTGTATGAGTTTCCCTACCTTTTCTTTCAAACCAGACATAGTCTAAGTGTTGGATTTAATAAGAGGAAATTTAATGTGTTGAATATCTTATAATTGTCTCTTTTCAACTCATTTAATAGTAATAATTGATTATCCTTTTGCCCTCATTTTTTGTCAATAAATTTAAATATGAAATGGTAAATTTTATCTACAAAAAATTTCAAAAATATTACAGAGGCTATTTGTGCTCTTTTAAAGTAGTATAGATTTATTATAAGAATATATATATATATATATATATATATATAATCCCTTCTTTTATTAAAGTATTCAATTCCCTAAAATCGATATCAACCTGCATAATTGTTCTTAGGTACTTGATAATTAATTCACCTCTTTCTATCAAGCTTTTGTGTGTATGTGTAAATAATAATGTTTCTACTTGGCAAGATAGGATCTAATTAGTGATAAATAAAAAAAAAATTATTTTGTAAATAACTGATATGGCATCATTTTGAGACCATCAGTTAAACGGAGAAGTACGGACAGGCCCAATGCAGATTTCTGATTTCCACTATAGAGCTATAAACATTCAAAATGTTAAAAATTCACATTCTATGCATCCATACTTGTCCATGAATTGGCATCAATTCTGAGCTGGCACATACCCCAAATGTACTTTGAGCCTACAAATTCTGATCCTGGGTTGAACCGCCATTCTCCCTCAGTTAAAAGGTGACATGTGGTCTCACCAAGGGCAAATTGGGAAAATTGCTGACATAAAAGAATAGGAAAGAGAGACCAAATCAGCCCCCCACAAGATTGCCCCCCCCCCTAACATCCCACAGCACATCCCTACCATGTATTGGAAACATCTCTTAATGATGACATCATCATTTCTAGGATTATCATCAGGGAGATGCCCAATAAACGGCGGAGATGTGCTGTGGGATGTTGTGGGGGGCTGATTTGAACTTTAGGAAAGGGGGAAATCCGAATTGGAAGGTATGACCATCAAAAAACCAAGCCAGGCAAGCAAAACTGTGCAAAATAAGAAACCAAGATGCACAAGGAAAGTTAATTCTCCTCTGACCAGTACCCCTTCATAAATTGGGATCTGCTTCTCATAGAACGTTTTTCATATTGACCTCACAGCCACATCCCACTGTGTATTGAAAATATCTTCTTATCAAAATTAAACATAAGTAGAAAAAATATTCCCAATGTGCGGTTAAAACATCTCCAGACTCTCCCTCTATGTAACGACACTGATCCATGTCAATCCAGCTTGCAATTTTATATGATGTAGGCTTGGATCTTCAATTGGGGTTGGACTAAAAAATTTGCGCTTTCTTAATTTTCATGTTGGACTCAAGCCTAACCCTCAGACAACCTGAGCCAAGCCCAAACCTAACCCAACCTTCTTTGAATCCAAATTCACATATATAAATAAATGCACATATAAACACATTATATATAATATTAATTTTTAAGGTAGATTGATTTACTAGCCCGAACCCAAATTCAGATGCAATGTGGATTGAGTTCGGATTATTAGATAAATCAGGCCTGACCTGAAGCTCGGGCCCCATGCCCTAATTCTTAGGATCTGCTCACTCGATTTGCACCTCTACTATTAACAATTTCACAATTTCTCGGTTTGGAGTATCCATTCCGAGAAACAACTCCGGGGTTTCTAATGTTCTTTTGTGTTTACAAGTCACCGGAGTCTTGGTTCTTCTGGTTGTCTCCTTTGTTGCACATCTCAAAAGCTACAATAACAATTAAGAGTGGATTTATTTTGTAATTACCAGATGGAAAAGGATAAATCATTATCGAGATGTCGGGATTTAAAATAGTATATTTTCCCACAAAGTGAAACTAGGGTCTGTTGCCCGTACACAGGGCTGTGGCAAGCAACTTTAGCAAAGCGACGGAAAAGTCAAGGCCCAAAGTCTAAAGAGATGTTATAAAATGACAAAAACATCCTTACGTATGTTAGATTTTAACCTTTCCAGTTTCCGGTCACTCGCAAATCACACCACACCACCACTGAGTAGTCAGTACTCACCACTCTGGTTCCCGAATCCCCCCATCTGTTTTCACGAAGCTTCCAAAAAAGCCAAGGTAGATACGCGTATCGACTATGACCATAGATGGTAATTACAATTTGTGAGACTGACTTTTATGGCCTTGCCATGAACTTACATACTAAAGTGCGCACTTATGGAACAATATTCCTGTAAGACTTTATTCTTCGCTACCTGATAAGTGATATCCCCGTGACTCAAGCAAAGCAAGCCACCGGCTGGCTGGTCACGGGGTTCGGTGAGGGGACTGGGGGAGTATTCATTGATTACGTACGCACAATGCGCAAGTTAAATGGCCACCCTAAGCACCTTCCTTCAATTGATCCTGACTGTTCAAATTCAATCGGTTTCGGTGGGCCTCCCCTTCTAATTTATATCAAATTTGCGGTTGTTCTAGTAGGTGTTTGTTATGTGGAAAATTATGACTAATGAAAAAAATAATCTAGTGGGAAACGCGTGTGATTATGACGCGTAGGGTCTACTCACACTCAGCATGATTATCAGAATTAAAATAATCGAAGAAAGGAGTTCCAAATTCCAACAGACTTTTCCTTCACATAACTTTGGCCCAAGCCCATCAAAACCTCGGCCCACTTCATTTGCACTTACTTGGCTGGTTCTTGTTCATTCATCTTAATTCTTACTAGTTAGAGAGGCGGAGGTCCCCCAGCAAAGAGTTGTATTCCTCTTTTCACTCTATATATTATCTTCGCTTCACTCACATTTCTCCCTCACAAAGTTCCCTCTCTTGTCTCACCCTCACCCTCACATTCTCTCTAGGCTCATCACTCATTTACACGCAGAGATCATGGCTCTGCCGCGTCCCATGCTCGCTCTTGCCATGTCGCTAGCTCTCCTGGCCACCTGCATTGCTCAATCACCTTCGGCCTCGCCACAGGCTTCCGCGGCTCCACCCACAAGCACGGCGATTCCACCTACTGCCTCAACCCCACCTCCCACTGCATCATCTCCACCACCAACCGCTGCGTCTCCGCCCCCTACCGCCACTCCTCCCGTTTCATCGCCACCGCCCTCATCTGCCCCGACAGTAAGTGGTCCCATTGCGAGCCCCCCTGCACCACCAACAGCACCCGCATCGTCGCCCAGTTCGTCAAGCACTCCCGCAGCCTCGCCATCTGCTGGTACACCACCTACATCCGTTGCCGTGCCGCCATCCGCAGGTTCGGCACCAGCGTCGGAGCCAGGGTCACCCACCTCGGGGGCATTTATACATGGAAGTGGCTTGGCCTTACTCGCAACTTTGCTCGGAGGAGTTGCATTCCTTGCCTAGAACGGTTGTCACTGATAGCTATATGGAATTTTACTTTTGTTTACTTGGTGGTGTAGATTAAGGTAATTATTTGTGTATTCTTTTTCTATTTTCTTTCTTCTGGTGATTTTTGTGAGGGGTGATGAGGATGATTGGAGATTGATTGGACATTACTACTCTTCTGTACCATTTTGACTTTAGATGAATAAAAATATATGTGATTCTTGTTTGTGTTTTAAACACTTAGTAACCCCCCCCCTCTCTCTCTCCTCTCTCTGCACATTCTTGGACCAAAAATTAAGTATACTTCAATTTTAATTAAGGAGTTGTTTTTGTTTTCTCCCTAGCATACATATCCTATTTGATTATTTCCTTCTGGGAATGACCAGAGCTGAATCCCTGAGGCCTGGGCGAATATATCTTCACCCTCAACTGAACAAATGGTACGTGTTAAGTAATGCAGTGGTAGTTTGAAGAGGTATTGGGGGGGAGGGTAGATAGAGGAGTCTAAGGTCTGGTAGAAAGTTGATACGGATGGATGGAAAAGATGAGAAAGAAAAAGTAAGGTGCTAGCTGGTAAATTGGAATCATGTGGAAGGAAGGGGAGTAATTGCTTTTGGAAAGGACAGAGCCTCTTTTGGTTTCTTCTGAGTGCTTCAGTGCTTGTGAGGATGGTCTAAAGGAGAGGAATAGTTTATGGTGGTGGGGTAAATTAAAGACAAAGGAACGTGACCAGTAAAGTGAAAGGCACATGGCCTTAGACCCACAAAACCTCATTATATTTATATATGTCCATGACATAGTGATACATATATAAACATTTGCCAAGATATATTTCACTATAGCTAAAGATGATTTGGGCATTGGATTCTCGTCTAGTCAGAGAGCCATGAAGTTTAGAGGGATAGAAAGCATAGGAGTTGATTCAAAAGGGTTAAGAATCATCAATGCATCACAGCTTTGACATGATCTGATTTTGGCATATCATTTTTCATTGCGTTTGAACCTTTAGGCTGCATTTGGTTTGAAGGAAAAAGTAGGGAAAGAAAGAGAAAGGTAACGAAACCTTTACAAATCTTGTATAGGTTTCCTTGCCTTTTCCCTACCTTTTCCTTCAAACCAAACATAACCTTAATATTTGTTGCCCAAGCAGCAAACCAATTATTTCAGTTATACATATATCTAGAAGATAATAAGTACAACCTACCATATGCATTTCAGTTCAACTCCTTTGTAATAGGAACCCTCTAGATATAGAGGCTTATAGTAGTTTATCAGACTTCAGACAGATTGATGATGCATGGTTTAAGTTCAGGCCTTGAAATTCCTCTTGCTGGGGCCTCTTTGTTTGAGACCCCAATTTGATTCAAGTACAGCAGTGGCAATATTACATATATCTTATCACCATTGTGGATTATTGAATCCTGTTGAGTAATTGTTTTGGTTAATGCGACACGAATACCCCACGTAGACAATTCATCTGTCCCTTCTGATGGACCATAGCTTACCAACCAACCGATCGATTAATTAATTAATCAGATATTTAGAGATTCATCCATTATTAGGAAGAGCTGAAACCTATATACACATTCAGACCCCCCTCATCTCACTGATTCATTAAACCAATGTATTAAATACTTACAGAAAGTGTTCCCAAGAAACTGAGACAAGCTATTATAAGGGAGTGCTTTCCCCCATGAACGAACCCAGTTGAAGTAGGAATAGGGATGCTGTTGGTTTTGGAAGAAGGAGGTGGAAGAGAAGAGGGGGTTTCTGGTTCAGACCCTGCTGAGGCTTGAGGTGCGCCGGCCGGAGAACTCACGGCCTGATCCCCTACGACATTGACCTGAAGCTTCATCCCTCCTAGGCAATGCAACTTGTTTCCGCATGCGAAGTATCTCTGGCCGGGGCTCGTCAAAGGAATAGAAGTATTCCCGTTGCTGCTTATTTGTAGAGGATTGCCCACGTTACATCCATCGAAGTTGTCCTTGGTCAGTTCCACCACGTTGTGGTAGGACGAGTATTGGAACACTGAGGCAAAACGAAAGACTAATTAGAATGTGTTTGGCTTGCAATTTTGGCCCATGGATTTTTACGCCTTTCATGGGCCTTCTTTGGCCCCACTTTAGGGGTTTATGTTGAGATCATGACGATTTGGGTTTGGGTTGGAGCCAACAAGGTTGTGGGTTTCCTAGATTCTTTCAGTTCCGGCCTTCCGGGGAAGTGAGATATTGTTACTTGCTACATCCCTCTCATTTCAGAAGAGCCTTCTTTTTGCCTTTTCACAGTTGGTGATTCTGACCAAATTGTATATCAGAGGATCATGAAAAGCTTCTTTTTTTTTTTTCGGTTTAGTTTGTTTTGTTTGCCTGTCTATTATTAAAAAAAATCTAGCATTCATCGCCAAAAGAATGAATTTTTATTAGCTAGCATCTGAAGGGCATAAATTCTACCAAGAAAATAAAAGAAGAAGTGCATAAATTTATAATAAAGTGTGGATGGGTGGCCGATCCAATCCGTTTAGGTCACCCAATACACCCTTTACATATAGCAGGTTCGAAATGGGTTAGATCAGCTATTTTGTCCATTTAATGGGTTAATTAGGTTGGGTAATAGGTATCCATTGGTTGGATTGCAGGCACTCACAGACAGAACTGCTATTCCTTCCTTTACCCTGATTGTCTCTCTTCTCTCTCATAATCGAAGAGTATCCGGGGTAAGTGTAGTTGGGTTGGGTTGGGTCAGAACCATTTAGCTACAAGTCAGTGGGCTCTAAATGGGAGGGTTGTGGCTCAACCTCCTCAAACCCCTCCTTTTCCAATTTTTAAGTAAGCAAAAATGGAGATAAAAATAGGACTCTTAGAATTTCAAGAAGTAAGTTTTGTCTTTTATTAACATCAGAATGCTAGTTAATACATTTCTTGGATTTCTTCTCCCTACATACAAGGTGGAAGTCATAAATAGACGTATCCAACTTGGGCGGTCTCAGATTGAGCTTTTGTCAAAATTTAAATGGGCCCGGCTGAAGATGTGTAAAATGCTAATTCGGGCCAACCCAAATTGTACCTCTACGGACATGTTCCAGGCCATTTTCATCAATGGACTGGACTAGTTCAGATGCAGTATATATAGTCATATAGGTATAGAAAAGTCCCAACCAATGCTGAAACCAAACTGGGTTGAGAATTGAGATTGGTTCACCCTAATTTGCATAACTGAAAAGTGAAAACCCAGGTGGATCACCTAGTTAGGACTTGGGAAACGACCTTAACCAAAATAACCAAACAATAAACTGGTAGGTAGGTTCTGGGTAGTGGATGGGGTCAAGAAGCAACAACCTGATGTTGATAATGGGCCCATCTGGGCCCAAGTGGGGCCCAGGTGTTTAATATCAAATGGCTGCAATTCTATTTGTCATTTGAAACCAGGGTGTATATTTATCTAAACTAATAAATATAGAATCAAAAGAAATCAGTAGAGTAAGAGAGGAAGATAAAAGAGAGGAGAAATTTCACTTACAAAGAACATCTCCCACCTTGAAAGTCTTGTCAATGGTCCATGAATCAAGACTGGAGCTTATGTCCCAACCAGCGCTATCCCCCACAGTGTACAGAGTAGCAGAACATGTGAGCAGAAAGCAAAGGCAAGAGAGAGTGTAAAAGAGGAGAGGCTTAGCCATGACCAGGAGGATAGAGGCAGAATTGGGCAGGATCGTGATATATACGAGAGAGGTTTGGGCCTTGGGCCTTGTGTGGGAGAGAGTAGATGACCTAACTTCATATCAAGCATAACAAACCAGCATAGCCTTTGTTCTGTAAGAAACCTCATTTGAAAGTTTGTTTCAACAGATGAGGCCGAGTGGGAGTCTAGATTGAGATTGATTGCGTCCCATTGTGATCAAAGTCTTACCTGTAGACATTTTCAATTGTGGGTTGGTTGTTTACCATATACAACCAAATTGGCAAAATTGATGGTGGGTTGTTGCCCAACTGTCCTTTTGGAGATGAGATTAGTTGTGACTTGTGAGCAGTTTGTCATCCGGATACTGGGGCATACAGTACAATATTAATATCTAACGGTCCGTAAACGATTTCAACCTTCTTTGTGTTTTATGTTTGAAAACATTTATTTTAAATATTTGCTTCTTTTGATAAAGAATCAAAATTGTTTTTGATGCTAAGGTCAGGGGCGGAGTTTAGGGGACCAAGGGACCAGGGGAGCCATGGTCCATGGTCCCCCACCCCCCCACACCTTTTCCTCTATAATCTCTATGCTTGGCCCATTCATGTCTACTTGCTTCTTGCCCTCTCTTTTCCATCGTTGCCTCCATCCCAATGACTTACCCAATTTCACTCACCCCCTCCTCTAGCGATGCAAACGGATCGGATCAAGTTTAATCTAATACGATAATATTAAGTGTAGACTTGATTCAATCAGATCTCATAAATATGGATTTGAATTTAAATCCGATAAGAAAATCGGATATTTGTATCTGATCCGATTTGATTTAATTTCAAAAAATAATAATAAATTATTAAAAAAACTAAAATATAACAATTTAAATAAAGAAAAAAATACATCTTTTCAATTATTTTCATCATGTATATACATGTTTTTTGTAAAAAAATGATATAAAAATTTCACAAAAATACAATATAAATAATATATTGATAAATGAATAAATGACACACACACACACATATATATATATGTATGTATGTATGGGCCAGGTGACCCGATGGACCGGCCCGACCCCCGGAAGGGCTTGAACATGCTTATAGGCCCGCGAGCTTAAATTCGGGCCAAAAAGCCCAACCCGCAATAAATTCGAGCCGGGCTCGGGTTTTGTCAAAATAGCCCGACCCGACCTAATATTAAACTTAAAATTAGTTATGTGATTATGTCCATTTGAATAAATTTTTTGATTTAAGAAAGTAAAATTGTGTTTTAAAATATAAAAGAAAGGGAAAAATACCATCTTGTAGGCCCATTGTTCATTTAAATAAAAGAAAAATACTATCTGAATTTTTAATTCTAATTTGAATAGGGAAAATTGTTTTTTTTTTCAATTAGGTCGGGCTTCGGGCTCGGGCTCGGGTTTCGGGCTTTTTACCATAGTCGGGCTCGGGCCTAAATTATAGGCCCGTTGGTCAGGCCGGGCCGGGCTCGGGCTCGGGCCTAATATATTTTCATTAGTGACAAGTAAAAGCCCAGCCCGAACCCGGTCCAACCCGGCCCATGAACAGGTCTAATTTCATCCGACCCGTTTATCCCTAATTTACCCTAGAAATAGAAAGAACATCAAGGGCGAGACGGGAACGAGCTCCTCAAAAATCGCACCTCACGGGAATTCCCAACATACTGTTGGATGGGGCTGTGAGGTGCATTCTGTGAGAAGCAGATCCCAATCGACGGGAACATGTCACCCTTCTCTCTTGCTTTGCCACTGGAAAGTTCTCTAACAGTATAGCGCTGGAAGTTGGCTGAAGAGTCGAAACAGAGAGGTTACAGAAGGAATAAAAGAAAGTAAAAGAGGTTACAGTAGCTTGCAAGCAATACGGTCGGAGTTCGAAGGATTCTACCAAGTTGGAGTCTGACCTTTTTAGGCGAAAAAGTTTATGGCTTTGATTGCAGAGTCTCCATTCGGATGGTAATGAGTTTGCTTCAAACAAAGCAAGAACTCAATTCCAGTAATCTCAGTTTTCTGCTTCGTTTTATTGAAACAATCTCTTTAGTGTATCGTTTTTACTTGAACGGTTCACTCCAGTCTTACCTAATAATGGCATGAACTCGTAAACCCTTCCACACTCCATACACCAAGCCCTGGCTATGTTCGGTCGAAGGTTCCTCATTAAATCCACTGGTTTCATAACCAGCAGAACCTCCTTGTCGAGACGCAGGAATCCCCTTACTACTAATGGCGTTGCGTGTTTTAGATTTCTATCGGTTGTGGCCATGCAGCGGCGAATGCCTGACCCAGATGATCCGTACACCTTAATGAAGGAGGACGGGGTTGCAGTCTGCTCGGAGATGTGGATAGAGAGTTTCCGGGAACCTGGTAAGACTGTAACCAATCTCACGTTCTACCTTCGGCGTTTTGAATTGTGGGTTTTGGCTTACCAGAAAGTCTGTGCTGATGAAACGGGTTCCTACATGCCACGAAGTGCGATACAGAAATCGGATTGGAAGATTTGTTAGCACTTAGGAATGCCGTTCTAGATGCCAGGTTTAAATGGGGAGCCAGGTTGGATTTCTTCATTCGATCTCCAAAGGATAAAACTGATCTTGAATCTCTATCAAAGCGGAAAATCAGGGCCATTCTAACTACCACTCAGCCAACCTCTTTCCAAGATAAAATTGTGCAAGAAGTTCTGTTGATGATATTGGAGCCCATTTATGAGGCTCGATTCTCACAGAAGTCATTTGCATTCAGGCCAGGCAGGAATGCCCCCACTGTTTTACGTATTATCAGGCGGAGTTTTGCAGGTTATCTCTGGTACATCAAAGGAGACTTGAGCACAATATTAGATGGTTTAGAAGTGGGGATGGTGATTAGTGCTCTTGTGAGAGATGTTAGAGACAAGAAGGTGATTGATTTAATTAAGTCGGCGCTTGTTACACCAGTGATAACAAGTCGAGTTGATGAAGGTGAGAAAAAGAAGAAGAAGAAGAGAAAGTATCAGAAGAAGAGGGTGTTAGCAGAAGATGAGCCAAAGCCTGATCCTTACTGGTTAGAGACTTTCTTTGGTTTTGCTCCAGAGGAGGCAGGGAAGTTGCCCTCTTGGGGACACTGTGGAATTCTTAGTCCCCTTCTGGCAAATATATGTTTGGATGAATTAGACCATTGGGTGGAGGGTAAAATCAAGGAGTTCTATCGTCCATCAAAGAATGATGTGATATGGAATAGTCAAGATGGGGAAGTGGAACAAGGTAATAATACATCATGGCCTGAGTTTGTCCCTACAAGTGGGCTTGATAAGATTAGGAAGGTGGATTACATCCGTTATGGGGGACACATTTTGATTGGGGTGCGAGGCCCAAGGGCAGATGCAGCACTTTGAGGAAGCAATTGATTGAGTTTTGTGACCAGAAGTATCTCCTGAAGCTTGACAATGAGAGCCTACCTATTGAACACATAACTAAGGGTGTTATGTTTCTTGACCATGTTTTGTGCAGGCGTGTTGTGTATCCAACACTTCGATACACTGCCACTGGTGGAAAGATTATCAGTGAGAAGGGTGTGGGGACCCTTCTCTCAGTAACAGCAGGCTTGAAGCAATGCATTAAGCAATTTAGAAAGTTAGGGTTTTTGAAGGGGGATAGGGATCCTGACCCACAACCTTGTTTCAGAATGTTTCATGCCACACAAGCTCACACAAATGCACAAATGAACAAGTTCCTTTCAACAATGGTGGAATGGTATAGATATGCAGACAATTGTAAGAAGGTTGTGAACTTCTGCTCTTACATCATAAGGGGGTCATTGGCAAAACTATATGCTGCAAAATATAAATTGCGTTCACGAGCAAAGGTGTACAAGATTGCATCACAAAATCTCAGCCACCCATTGAAGGAGAAAAAAGGTCAGTCCCCAGAATACTATAATCTACTAAGGATGGGTCTCGTAGACTCCATTGATGGCCTTCAATACACCCGTATGTCTCTTGTGCTTGAGACCGATTACACCCTTTTTCCAAGTGGTTGGAGGCCTGAGCATGAGAAAGTTTTGCTTGAATGTATAAGGCTCGAGGAACCAAAGACTCTGGAGGAGCTAAGGGGTTGCCTTAGAGATCAAGGTCTTATTTCACCACAGGATTACATATCAATGCTTGTATGGAACTACAAAAGGAATGCTATCATGGTAGAGCCACTTCCTGTGACTGAAAGTGGTGACAACAATGTTTAGAGAACTGAAGAGGTGTTGTTGGCCTCGACTGAGAGCTTAAGTGGTAGGATGAGGTAAGAGGCCAGTGAAGAAAGATATTGGGCTGCACATATTTAAGAAGTCAAATTTGTTTTCTGTGCTTGAAACGATCAGCAATGTTTTGTAGATGAATCTGCACAGGTCAACAAAAGAATGACAGACATTGTCTCTACAATGAAAAGATTGCATCACTCTTGAATCTACCCAACAGGTATAAGGAAATGGCTTGTAAAATTTTAAGATATATCATTCAAGTTGTAGAATTATGGTGGGTTCCATGATATTTGTTTCAAATGCTAGTTGTTTATTATTTTACCATGCCATCTCTAATGAAGTTTTCACTCTTGTTCTTTTCTTGCAAAGTTTTCTTTGGTTGGGTTTCTACTTGCATATATTCAGGTTTACCTTTATTTTGCAATGCTTCTTGTAATTTATGCTTTTGAAACTTATAAATGCTGATGTAAATCCTCTATGGTGTCTCTGCATGTTAATTCTTTCTAGTCCTATAATATTTTTCTAGATCTCAAGCATTTTACATGTAGATTGTAGATTAGGTAAAATGAGTGTTCTTTGAATTTAAGCTGAGTTGTTATTAGTATTTCTTTTGACACGATTGATAGAAAAGTTCATAGAGAAGAAGAAAGATCTTCATATGGTGTTCATCGATCTAGAAAATGGCTTATGATAGAGTTCTTAGAGAGATCATATGGTGGGTCTTGGAAAAGAAAGGGGTTCAAAATAGGTATATAGTCCTAATTAAGCATTTGTATGAGGGGGCAAC